AATTACGAGAAACTATTTCGTAATTACGAGAAACTTATTTCGTAATTACGAGAAACTATTTCGTAATTACGAGAAACTATTTCGTAATTACGAGAAACTTATTTCGTAATTACGAGAAACTATTTCGTAATTACGAGATACTATTTCGTAATTACGAGATAGCATTTCGTAATTACGAGAAACTATTTCGTAATTACGAGATACTATTTCGTAATTTCGAGATAAAAATTTTTTTTTTGTGGCACTAAAATGCTGCCGTAATAATCTTACCGGCAATACAATCAATAAAGAACAGATTCATATACATAAAATAACTATATAGATAACATATATAACTACATACATAATAAAATTACATAAATAATAGACCTACATAAAAGATATGATTATAAAAATAAAACTCGTCGTAAATACAAGTTTGCAGATAAAAAAAAAAGAGGATAAACCGGAAACGAAGCGACGACGACACCCACCGCGTCGCACGTGACCTCATCCGGTATCGTCTCGTTGGCCAAATCGAACCGACAACAGTCGAAGTTCGACTGAGCGAGATTGATGACCTTGTACTCCTTGTCTAGAGCGAGATCCCATGCTGCCTTCACCACCGTCTTCTGCTGGTCGGAGTTGATCGCTAGACATCCGCACGCGATCGCAAACTGCATGAGGAATATGATGAGCAGCAGAATCATGTACTGATGATGACGATGGGTTAAGGAATCCAACAATCAACAACAAACAACAACAAACAACAATAACAACAACAAACAACAATGACAACAAACTGCATGAAGAAGATGATGAGCAGCAGAATCATGTACTGATGATGACGATGGGTTAAGGATCCAACAAACAACAACAAACAACAATGACAATAAGCTACATGAGGAAGACTTATTCAATTCTCTGGACTGACAACGTGGTAAACAACGATGTCGACGACAACAAACAACAACAACGACCACAACAAACAACTCCAACAAACAACAACGACAACATCAACAAAGAATCGTGCATCGAAACGGATACGAA